CATCTAACATCTTGCTGGTAAATAGATATACGCTAGTTGCGGGTGCTTTGTAATCTTATTGGTCAATTGATGTAGATCAGTGAAAATCCATCGGTGATAAGTACGAAGTCCCAAACTAGTTTACATTCTTACTCGTTTTAGCTTCAGCGCAATTATTTTCATTTGGAAGAGTTATAGCTTTAAACATCATGGAAAAATGGTTTCGTTTACCAATTATAGCTCAACCTTTTGTCTTACTTAAGATTTCATCTTTAATTAAAGTTTCGGAGGTTCCGTCTTACACCAAGGGTTTAATAATTTCGCCAGGGGTTTCACCTTTTGCCAAGATTTCGTCATTTCGCCAGGGATGTCGCCCTTCGTCATCAAGTAAAATCATATCACCTAATAATTCCATTCCCACACTTAATAACGAAACATATCATGCCAATTTAACACTGGATTGTCTTAAAAAAGCTGGAAATCTCGATGGCGCAATTCAATTATTTGATAGCCTTAATGAATTTGACATCAAAAAAGATGTTTATACCTATAATTGCATGATTCATGTATACGTGTTGAAACATGACATGAAAAAAGCGATAGAATATTATGAAGAAATGATATCGAATGGAATAGAAGCAGATTCAGTAACTTACTTGACATTAATAGATGGATTCGGAAAACAAAAGGATACAAAAAAAGCACTGGAATTTTATAATAAGATGATATCATCTCATAAACAACCAACGACAAAGATTGTCTCATCTCTTCTAAATACATTTATGAGAGAAAACCAAATGGAACAAGCAGAACAAATATTTGAAGCAATGAAATCGCTTAAAATGCAACCTGATATTAGATTATATAATACTCTAATACGTAATTCAATAATTAAATTGGACATGAAAACCGCAAATCAACTTTATCATGAAATTATAAAATTCGGAATAAAACCAGATGTTTACACATTTGCAATGATGATTGATGGATACTTAAAAATCGGAGATCAAGAAAGTGCAACAAAGATTTATTCATACATGATAAATCATGGAGTAGATATTAATTCAACGGTGATTAATATTTTGATGCAATTACATTTTGAAAAAAATGAGTCACAAATGGTTCAAAATATTTTTGATAATCATTTTTCAAGACATTCATATTATAATGGAATGTTACCAGATATTAAATCCTGGACAATTTTTTTGAAATCAAGATTACAACTTACAAAAGATATTGAAGAAGCTTACGATATATATAAAGAATTCTTAATGCAAATTGATAATAAAGATTTAAATTTTCAACTTTTACCAGATTGTCATGTTTTTAATCTTTTCCTTACAATATTTGCCCATAATTATGGAAATATGACACTTTCTCAAGAAGTTTATGGTGAAATGACTAGAAGAAATATTTCACCTGATGTTGTAACTCATACTATATTAATTGAAGGTTATGCTTTATTGGGTCAAGTTGAAAAAGCGAATAGACAATTTCAAATTATGAAATCTAATAATATTAAACCTAATGTATTTACTTATACAAGTTTAATCAAAGCTTGGGCACAAGTTTGGAGAATTGACAAAATTAAACAAATTTATAAAGAAATGATTGAATCCGGTATAAAACCTCATAGAGCAACTTATCGTGTATTAGCTTCTATAACAAATTCAAAATTTGATACCTCCCAAAAAAGTTCATCAAATTTACCTATATCAAGAACACCACAACATATTAGAGATACGACAAAATTACATGATAAACTTGAAAAAGTTCGAGATTCTGAAACTGCTTATACTCTTTTTGAAAATTTTTTAAAAAAATTTGATGATACGAATTATCTTGACTATAATTCACGACCAAATATTTATTCTTTTACCTTATTTATGACAAGTTTTGTATTTTATCATAGAAATATGAAACTTGCCCTTAAAGTTTTTGAAGAAATGTTAAAAAGAAATATTTCAGCTAGTTGCTATTGTTATAATGTTTTGATTGAAGGATTTGCTAGATCAAACGAACCATTTAAAGCTGAAAAAATGTTTTATACTATGATAAATAATAATATAAAACCAGATGTTAGTTCTTTTAATAGTTTAATATCTGCTTGGATAACGGTCGGTAGAAGGGATAAAGTATTCATGGTTTATCGTGAGATGAAAAAATATGGTATAAATCCCAACGAGGTTACATTAAATAAGATGAAAGCTATAGGAATGTAATAGAAATTTTATTATAAAGTTTGTATATATAATAGTAATAACGGACAGTAGCATTTAGATT